GAGACAGAACACAGGAGGAAAGGAAGACGATGAAAGAGAGAGTTCAGAAACGAAAGGAGAAATGGGAGGAACTGAAAAAGGAGAGCAGAATAACCCAGGAACAAGTTGAAGGACAAGCACACCCCCCAGAAACACCTGAAGAAGGACCCCAGCCACAACACCCCCAAGGCAACTGAACAATCCAACCCAACCATCACACACCGATCCCTCTGTTCCCACCCCCCGCACCACAGTTACAGTATTAGAACAGAAGTTGAAGGTTTGGTACACAAATGCAGATGGATTAACGAATAAACATGAGGAATGGCAAGAAAGAATCAATGAGAAGTCCCCAGACATCATAGCAGTTACAGAAACAAAACTCACGGGGACAGTAACAGATGCAATCTTCCCACCAGGATACCAGATCATGAGGAAAGATAGAAGGGGCAGAGGGGGAGGTGGGGTTGCTCTGCTAGTAAAAAACAGATGGAAATTCGAGAAAATGGAAGGCATAGATGAGATGGGAGAAAGAGACTACATAGTAGGTACACTTCAGTCTGGGGAACACAAGGTGGTCATTGCAGTGATGTATAATCCACCACAGAACTGCAGGAGGCCAAGAGAGGAATATGAAGAGAGCAACAGAGCAATGGTGGACACACTTGCTGAGGTGGCAAGAAGAGCTCACTCCAGCAGAGCAAAGTTGCTGGTTATGGGGGATTTCAACCACAGGGAGATTGACTGGGAAAACCTGGAGCCACATGGGGGTCCCGAAACATGGAGAGCCAAGATGATGGACGTGGTGCTGGAAAACCTCATGCACCAACATGTTAAGGACACTACCAGAGTGAGGGGGGAGGATGAACCAGCAAGATTGGACCTTGTGTTCACCCTGGGCAGTTCAGACATTGAGGACATCAGGTATGAGAGTCCCCTAGGAGCTAGCGACCATGTGGTTCTGTGCTTTGAATATATAGTAGAGCTGCAAGTGGAGAGAGTAACAGGAGTTGAATGGGAAAAGCCTGACTATAAAAGAGGGGACTACATAGGGTTGAGGAACTTCCTGCAGGAGGTCCCGTGGGACAGAGAACTGGCAGGAAAGCCAGTAAATGAAATGGTGGAATATGTAACAACAAAATGCAAGGAGGCAGTGGAAAGGTTTATTCCCATGGGCAACAGAAACAAGGGGAAGACCAGAACGAGCCCCTGGTTTACCCGACGGTGTAAGGAGGCAAAAACAAAGTGCAATAGAGAATGGAAAAAGTATAGAAGGCAGAGAACACACGAAAATAGGGAGATCAGTCGCAGAGCCAGGAACGAGTATGCACAGGTAAGGAGGGAGGCCCAGCGACAGTATGAAAATGACATAGCATCGAAAATCAAGACTGACCCGAAACTGTTGTATAGCCACATCAGGAGGAAGACAACAGTCAAAGACCAGTGATCAGATTAAGGACAGAAGGGGGAGAACTCACAAGAAATGATCCAGGAGGTATGTGAGGAGCTAAACAGGAGATTTAAGGAAGTTTTTACAGTAGAGACAGAAGGGCTGTGGGAAGCTCAGCACAGAAGGGAACATCAAGAGGGAATATACCACCAAGTGTTGGATGACATACGAACAACCGAGGAGGTGAAGAAGCTGCTAAGTGACCTTGATACCTCAAAGGCGATGGGACCGGACAACATCTCCCCATGGGTCCTTAGAGAAGGAGCAAAGATGCTGTGCGTGCCTCTAACCACAATCTTCAACACATCCCTTGAAACTGGGCAACTACCTGAGAAATGGAAGACAGCAAATGTAGTCCCCATATTTAAGAAAGGAAACAGAAACGAGGCGCTAAACTACAGACCTGTGTCTCTGACATGTATTGTGTGCAAAGTCATGGAGAAGATTATCAGGAGGAGAGTGGTCGAACACCTGGAACAGAACAAGATTATAAATGAAAACCAGCATGGGTTCATGGAAGGCAAATCTTGTATCACAAACCTCCTGGAGTTTTATGACAAGGTAACAGAAGTAAGACACGAGAGAGAGGGGTGGGTTGATTGCGTTTTCCTAGACTGCAGGAAGGCCTTTGACACAGTTCCCCACAAGAGATTAGTGCAGAAGCTGGAGGATCAGGCGCATGTAACAGGGAGGGCACTGCAATGGATCAGGGAATACCTGACAGGGAGGCAGCAACGAGTCATGGTACGTGAAGAGGTATCACAGTGGCGCCTGTGACGAGCGGGTCCCACAAGGGTCAGTTTTAGGGCCAGTGCTATTTTTGATATATGCTAACGACATGATGGAAGGAATAGACTCTGAAGTGTCCCTATTCGTAGATGATGTGAAGTTGATGAGAAGAATTAAATCGGATGAGGATGAGGCAGGACTGCAAAGAGACCTGGACAGGCTGGACATGTGGTCCAGAAACTGGCTTCTCGAATTCAATCCTGCCAAAAATGCAAAGTCATGAAGATTAGGGAGGGGCAAAGAAGACCGCAGACAGAGTATAGGCTAGGTGGACAAAGACTACAGACCTCACTCAGGGAGAAAGACCTCGGGGTGACCATAACACCGAGCACGTCACCGGAGGCACACATCAACCAAATAACTGCTGCAGCATACGGGCGCCTGGCAAACCTGAGAATAGCGTTCCGATACCTTAATAAGGAATCGTTCAAGACACTGTACACTGTGTATGTTAGGCCCATACTGGAGTATGCAGCACCAGTCTGGAACCCACACCTGGTCAAGCACGTCAAGAAGTCAGAGAAAGTACAAAGGTTTGCAACAAGGCTAGTACCAGAGCTCAGGGAAATGTCGTACGAGGAAAGGTTGATGGAAATCGGACTGACGACACTGGAGGACAGAAGGGTCAGGGGAGACATGATAACGACATACAAGATACTGCGGGGAATAGACAAGGTGGACAGAGATAGGATGCTCCAGAGAGGGGACACAGGAACAAGGGGTCACAACTGGAAGCTGAAGACTCAGACGAGTCACAGGGACGTTAGGAAGTATTTCTTCAGTCATAGAGTTGTCAGCAAGTGGAATAGCCTAGCAAGTGAAGTAGTGGAGGCAGGAACCATACATAGTTTTAAGAAGAGGTATGATAAAGCTCAGGAAGCAGAGAGAGAGAGAGAGGACCTAGTAGCAATCAGTGAAGAGGCGGGCCAGGAGCTGAGTCTCGACCCCTGCAACCACAATTAGGTGAGTACATTAGGTGAGTACACAAATGGTAACACACACACACACACACACACACAGGACCCTGTACACCGTGTATGTTAGGCCCATATTGGAGTATGCGGCACCAGTTTGGAACCCACACCTAGCCAAGCACGTGAAGAAACTAGAGAAAGTGCAAAGGTTTGCAACAAGACTAGTCCCAGAGCTAAGAGGTATGTCCTACGAGGAGAGGTTAAGGGAAATCAACCTGACGACACTGGAGGACAGGAGAGATAGGGGGGACATGATAACGACATACAAAATACTGAGAGGAATTGACAAGGTGGACAAAGACAGGATGTTCCAGAGATTGGACACAGTAACAAGGGGACACAGTTGGAAGCTGAAGACACAGATGAATCACAGGGATGTTAGGAAGTATTTCTTCAGCCACAGAGTAGTCAGTAAGTGGAATAGTTTGGGAAGCGATGTAGTGGAGGCAGGATCCATACATAGCTTTAAGCAGAGGTATGATAAAGCTCACGGCTCAGGGAGAGTGACCTAGTAGCGATCAGTGAAGAGGCGGGGCCAGGATCTCGGACTCGACCCCCGCAACCTCAACTAGGTGAGTACAACTAGGTGAGTACACACACACACACACACATACACATACACAAACACATACACAAACACAGGCCTAGTGTCTAATCGACATATGCCTAGGACAAAATAGTAACTAACACCAGCAAGCCTTCAGGGATGGAAAATCCTGTCACAAACCTATTGGAGTTCTACGACAAGGTAGCAGATGGTAACAGGAGAGAGGAATGGGTAGACTGCATTTACTTAGACTGTAATGTAAAAAGGTTTACGACACAGTACCGCACAAGTACAAAAGCTAGAGCAGGCAGGAATAGGAGGAAAAGTACTGCAATGGATTAGGGAATAGATGACAGGAAGGAAACAGCGAGTGATGGTACATGACAAGGTGTCAGAATGGGCGCATATTTCGTGTAGGGCTCCACAAGGGTCAGTCCTATGGCCGGCGCTGTTTGTTGTATATGTAACTGACATGATGGAATGGACAGATTCAGAGGTGTCCTTTTCAAACGATGTTAAGTTAATAAGGAGAATTCAAGAGGTCGAGGATCAGGTAAGTCTACAAGGGGATCTGGATAGCTGAAAACTTGGTCCTACAAATGGCTCCTGGAGTTTAACCTTACCAAATGCAAAGTCATGAAGCTTGGGGAAAGACAAAGAAGACCGCAAACGGAGTATAGGCTAGGGTATCAAAGGCTGCAAACCTCACTTAAGGAAAAGGATCTTGGGGTGAGCATTATACCGAGCACGTCCCCTGAACAACGAGATCATAGGGAAAAAGCGTGTGCTAAACTCATGTGGATAAAAACACGTATATGTACAGTTCAGGACATTTATTAGAGATTTTTTGTTTAATAAATGTCCTGCACTGAACGTAAGTGTCCTTAGCTACGGCTTCTCAGTATTACCATAGTACTGATAACCAGATGAAGCCCAGCTTCAGAGAACAATGAAGCTTGTAAGAAGAGGAAGGAGGAAAACCGAAAAATAATTTGAAAATGCCACAGTAAACAAGACACAAGCAGAGCTGCATCACAGCCACAGCGGATAAAAGACGACAGTGAATGATCGAGTAATAACACTGGAAAAGGAAGGGAAGGGAACACTCAGAAAATGGCCAGGGAGGTAAACAGTGAACTCAGAAAGATGAAAGAGAACGGGAGGCGCAACCCGCGTTCTGTAAATAAACAGTGCGACGCTGTACCATCTTCTGGTATATATTAATGACCGTTTACTTGAATTTAGTGATGCCAATACTGACCTGATGTGAACACTGTGAGCTGAGGTAAATGCGTTGACCTGATGTCAACACTGACTCAAGGTCAATACTATGACCTGAGATCAAGACACCTTAACTCAGGATTGCTGGAAGTACCGGTCCTCCTGAGGAGGATGACAGGTGTTACACTCACTAAACTCACCTGGAAAAAAATAAAGAAACCGCGCAATAAGTACGATAGTGAAAACAATAATAACAATATACAGTTTGATAAGAAAATCCATGTGCAATAGTTAGGTATCTTTATTCCGAAACTTTTCGCCTACATAGTAGGCTTCTTCAGTCGAGTACAGAGGCAGCAGAACCGTAGACATGTAACAATGTAATCATTCCACCACCCTTGAAGATGTAATTCTGAGGTGGTTAGTCCCTCAGACTGAGGGACTGGATACAAGTGTAACAGTCAGGTAGAGTTTGTTCATGATGTTTGGGGTGGTTGACGCCAGGCTAGTGCAGCTATTCTTATGCATATTATGTAGCTTTAAAATGTCAAAAGGCTACCGAAACTATGAATCTGCATTGATTACTTATTGATGAAAGTATATATGCTTAAATATGGAATGTAGTCTTGCCCTTCCTTTCTTCTCTTCTCTCTCATATCTATTATTTTGGTTGCCCACTCTATGAGGATGCAGATACCTTCATATTATTATTATTATTATAATCAAGGGGGAAGCGCTAAACCCGGAGGATTATACAGCGCCTGGGGGGGGGATGTGGAAGGCATTGAGGCTTAATTCGGGGAACTGGAGCACAGATCCAATTCCCTAAATCAAGAGCCCCTCACCAACATCAAGGAACCTTCCTTGAGGGGAGATACCTTCATAAAAATTCCATTTCTTGTGTGTATGGGATAGATCATCATGCGATATGGTAATACCAAAATTACAGTAATTCCAACTGTGCTGGAAGCAGACTTTTAAAGTTCTCGTAGCTGCTGAACCCTTAACGTAGACTGACCACAGATAAGTTGGGCACGGTTAAATTGCATTACATTAATTTAATAAAGAGGCAGGTCTTATATATTATGTACTAAGAGTACATAAAATTCTGTGCAAAGACGGCTATAATGAGTTATAAGACAAAGCAAACGAGTCGATACATAAAGACTAAATTAACAATAATGGTTGTGTACACTATGAATAAGGTAGTTTAGCCTTATTCTGTGGATGAATGAGACACTGCAATACCTGTCTATATTTTAGAATAAATAGACACTAAAGTGTTGTACGAGCGACTCAGTTATCTACTTGTTTGCTTTCTAAACAATTTATTACTCCGTGCTAGAAACTGCCAACTATAATATGACATGAGAAGTATTGTTGCGAGTCACCAAACATGTTATTATTATTCAGTATACACAAGACCAACACCACACACAATACTGTAGTGAACTTCTGCTTCTGTGTTTCAGTGGTACGGTAAGTACCACTTTGTACTGGTTGCTTGGTGCAGTATTTGTGTAGTGTTGTTAAGTGTTTTGTAGTGTAGTGGTTGCTTGGTGCAGTATGTGTGTAGTGTTGTTAAGTGTTTTGTAGTGTAGTGGTTGCTTGGTGCAGTATGTGTGTAGTGTTGTTAAGTGTTTTGTAGTGTAGTGGTTGCTTGGTGCAGTATGTGTGTAGTGTTGTTAAGTGTTTTGTAGTGTAGTGGTTGCTTGGTGCAGTATTTGTGTAGTGTTGTTAAGTGTTTTGTAGTGTAGTGGTTGCTTGGTGCAGTATGTGTGTAGTGTTGTTAAGTGTTTTGTAGTGTAGTGGTTGCTTGGTGCAGTATGTGTGTAGTGTTGTTAAGTGTTTTGTAGTGTAGTGGTTGCTTGGTGCAGTATTTGTGTAGTGTTGTTAAGTGTTTTGTAGTGTACTGGTTGCTTGGTGCAGTATTTGTGTAGTGTTGTTAAGTGTTTTGTAGTATAGTGGTTGCTTGGTGCAGTATTTGTGTAGTGTTGTTAAGTGTTTTGTAGTATAGTGGTTGCTTGGTGCAGTATGTGTGTAGTGTTGTTAAGTGTTTTGTAGTGTAGTGGTTGCTTGGTGCAGTATTTGTGTAGTTTGTTAAGTGTTTTGTAGTGTAGTGGTTGCTTGGTGCAGTATTTGTGTAGTGTTGTTAAGTGTTTTGTAGTGTAGTGGTTGCTTGGTGCAGTATGTGTGTAGTGTTGTTAAGTGTTTTGTAGTGTAGTGGTTGCTTGGTGCAGTATTTTGTAGTGTTGTTAAGTGTTTTGTAGTGTACTGGTTGCTTGGTGCAGTATTTGTGTAGTGTTGTTAAGTGTTTTGTAGTGTAGTGGTTGCTTGGTGCAGTATGTGTGTAGTGTTGTTAAGTGTTTTGTAGTGTATGGTTGCTTGGTGCAGTATGTGTGTAGTGTTGTTAAGTGTTTTGTAGTGTAGTGGTTGCTTGGTATGGTACTTGTGTTAAGTAATTTGTAATGTAGTGATTCTTTGGTATGGTACTTGTGTAGTGTTGTTAAGTGATTTGTAGTGTAGTTGCTTGGTACGGTGTCTTGTGTTATGCTGGACCGCAGTTGGCATCCTGGGGTAGTTAAGTATTCAGGTCCAGCTCTGGTACAGATGGAGTTCATAATTACACTTCAACACCATGAAGTTTATTAAGGCACAGGTACACATAAGTATAATTATCGTACATAGTGTAAATTACTTAGGATAAGCCAAAAAAAAAAGTCAGACAAAGTGACTTTACATTAAGTTAATAACGAAAAGTCAGTCACACAGCATGATTAACCAGGCTGACTGGAGCAGCTGGGAGCTGATTCATCCCAGTGTCAGCAGCTGGGAGTTGATTCATCCCGGTGTCAGCAGCTAGGAGTTGATTCATCCCGGTGTCAGCAGCTGGGAGCTGATTCATCCCAGTGTCAGCAGCTGGGAGCTGATTCATCCCAGTGTCAGCAGCTGGGAGTTGATTCATCCCAGTGTCAGCAGCTGAGAGCTGATTCATCCCAGTGTCAGCAGCTGGGAGTTGATTCATCCCAGTGTCAGCAGCTGGGAGTTGATTCATCCCAGTGTCAGCAGCTGGGAGCTGATTCATCCCAGTGTCAGCAGCTGGGAGTTGATTCATCCCAGTGTCAGCAGCTGGAAGTTGATTCATCCCAGTGTCAGCAGCTGGGAGTTGATTCATCCCAGTGTCAGCAGCTGGGAGCTGATTCATCCCAGTGTCAGCAGCTGGGAGTTGATTCATCCCAGTGTCAGCAGCTGGGAGTTTGATTCATCCCAGTGTCAGCAGCTGGGAGTTGATTCATCCCAGTGTCAGCAGCTGGGAGCTGATTCATCCCAGTGTCAGCAGCTGGGAGTTGATTCATCCCAGTGTCAGCAGCTGGGAGTTGATTCATCCCAGTGTCAGCAGCTGGGAGCTGATTCATCCCAGTGTCAGCAGCTAGGATTTGATTCATCCCAGTGTCAGCATCTGGGAGTTGATTCATCCCAGTGTCAGCAGCTGGGAGCTGATTCATCCCAGTGTCAGCAGCTGGTAACTGATTCGTCCCAGTGTCAGCAGCTGGTAACTGATTCGTCCCAGTGGTGTCAGCAGCTGGTAACTGATTCGTCCCAGTGGTGTCAGCAGCTGGTAACTGATTCGTCCCAGTGGTGTTAGCAGCTGGTAACTGATTCGTCCCAGTGGTGTCAGCAGCTGGTAACTGATTCGTCCCAGTGGTGTCAGCAGCTGGTAACTGATTCGTCCCAGTGGTGTTAGCAGCTGGTAACTGATTCGTCCCAGTGGTGTCAGCAGCTGGTAACTGATTCGTCCCAGTGGTGTTAGCAGCTGGTAACTGATTCGTCCAGTGGTGTCAGCAGCTGGTAACTGATTCGTCCCAGTGGTGTTAGCAGCTGGTAACTGATTCGTCCCAGTGGTGTCAGCAGCTGGTAACTGATTCGTCCCAGTGGTGTTAGCAGCTGGTAACTGATTCGTCCCAGTGGTGTCAGCAGCTGGTAACTGATTCGTCCCAGTGGTGTTAGCAGCTGGTAACTGATTCGTCCCAGTGGTGTCAGCAGCTGGTAACTGATTCGTCCCAGTGGTGTCAGCAGCTGGTAACTGATTCGTCCCAGTGGTGTCAGCAGCTGGTAACTGATTCGTCCCAGTGGTGTTAGCAGCTGGTAACTGATTCGTCCCAGTGGTGTCAGCAGCTGGTAACTGATTCGTCCCAGTGGTGTCAGCAGCTGGTAACTGATTCGTCCCAGTGGTGTCAGCAGCTGGTAACTGATTCGTCCCAGTGGTGTCAGCAGCTGGTAACTGATTCGTCCCAGTGGTGTCAGCAGCTGGTAACTGATTCGTCCCAGTGGTGTTAGCAGCTGGTAACTGATTCGTCCCAGTGGTGTCAGCAGCTGGTAACTGATTCGTCCCAGTGGTGTCAGCAGCTGGTAACTGATTCGTCCCAGTGGTGTTAGCAGCTGGTAACTGATTCGTCCCAGTGTGTCAGCAGCTGGTAACTGATTCGTCCCAGTGGTGTCAGCAGCTGGTAACTGATTCGTCCCAGTGGTGTCAGCAGCTGGTAACTGATTCGTCCCAGTGGTGTCAGCAGCTGGTAACTGATTCGTCCCAGTGGTGTCAGCAGCTGGTAACTGATTCGTCCCAGTGGTGTCAGCAGCTGGTAAGTGCTTCATCTCATAAGTGAATATGAGTAACACTTTTAATGAAGAGAGGATGAGTGAATATGAGCGAACATTAAGTGAACATGAGCAAATATCAGTGAACATTAAGTGATCATGAGCAAATATCAGTGAACATTAAGTGATCATGAGCAAATATCAGTGAACATGAGTAAATATTAGTGAATATGAGTGAATATTAAGTGAACATGGAGACTGGTGGTTACCTTCCACGACCAACCACATCACTGAACAATGTAAACAACAACACTGACCTTATGGCTTTGTGAACTTACCACACCAGCCACACTAACCTTTGTAGACCACACCAGCCACACTAACCTTTGTAGACCACACCAGCCACACTAACCTTTGTAGACCACACCAGCCACACTAACCTTTGTAGACCACACCAGCCACACTAACCTTTGTAGACCACACCAGCCACACTAACCTTTGTAGACCACACCAGCCACACTAACCTTTGTAGACCACACCAGCCACACTAACCTTTGTAGACCACACCAGCCACACTAACCTTTGTAGACCACACCAGCCACACTAACCT